ATTTGATTTTTATCCTGTTCTCTTCCCTCCACGTCCCTTCCCTTCCCTTTCCATTCCCGTCCCTCCCCTTCCCTTCCCTTCCCTTCCCTTCCCTTCCCTTCCCTTTCCCTCCTCCCTTCCCTTCCCTTCCTCCTCCTCCTCCTCCTCCTTCTTCTTCTTCTCCATGCCTCCTCCTCCTCATCTTCCTCCTCTCTACAGGAAAAAGGGAATAAACTATGCTAATGGGAGCTCTCATTGCTGGGAAACTGGTGCGGAATTACGGAATCTGGTCCTTCTTTCACTTTCTCTGCGGAACAGTTTCAAAAAGCCTTTGGGGCACATGGAGAGCAAGACCGTCACAAAAATCACAGGGCCACAAGACCCTGGAGTTGGAGGAGGCCCTTGAGGCCATCAAACCCAACCCCCGTGGAGTGCAAAAAATGCCAATTAAAGCGTCCCAAATGACTGGCCACCCAGCTTCTGCTTGAGCACATCCAGCAGAGGGGAGCCCAGCAGCTCTCTCGTCCCATTGGCAAGTTGCGGTGACTATCAGGAACTTATTTTTTCCAACCTTCAGCTGGAATCTGCCTTCTTGTAACTTAAACCCATCGTTTGGTGTCCTTCCCTCTGCAGAGACAAAGAACAGGTCTTGATCATATTCCCTGAGACCTCCTTTCAAGTGTTTGAAGAGCGCCATGCTATTATTCTCCCTCCCCTCTACAGCTTTTCTTCTTAAGGTTAAACGGCAAAGATGAACAGATGCCAAAGAAATGCCCTTGAAAACGCATTGACAGGGCCTGGAGGAATACCTGTGCCAGCCCTTTGAGGTAGTCCAGACCAGAAGCACACCCCATGGGTACTAACGCTACCTTTATTGTAAGGTTACAGCAACAGAATCTTGCAAGTCTGAAAGGACCTCTCTTCCCCCTCGCCTTTACAGTCCAAGAAACTGGGGGGGGGGGCCTTCTGAGACACTTCCCACGCCCCCATTCTGCTGCGGGCTCAGCTGCCTCTTATCCGACCGTTGCCTAGCCTGTGGCTCTTCCTCCTGTCTCCCAAGATCATCCCCACAGACCATTACATTAGTCCAGACCAAGACACCAAAATTATGAATGCTAATACTACTTTAGTATAAGGTTACATTAACAGAGTCTTGCAAGTCCGAATGCGCCTCCCCCCTCCCTGCCTTTATCTTCAAGAGAACTAGGGAGGGTCTGGTCTGAGACGCTTTCTCAAACTACATTTCTGCCCCAGACTCAAGTTTCTTTTATCTGACTGTTGTCTTAGTGGTGGCTCTTCCTCCTGTCCCTCAAGGTTACTCACGCAGCCCATTTCAATCTGCCAGGTGAGAAGGGAGGATAGGGGCCATGTCCACTGTGAGTGCAACTCTTTCCTTCCTTGAGGGCTGCAACAGGGCTGATGCTCCCTCTCAAGCTGATCATTAGAGCCCTGATCGTACTACAGTCAACGCTCTAAGGGGGTCTTCGGAATGACATCTTGTGAGGTGGCCAAAGGGGTTCCTGATGTGGACCACGGCTGCTAGCAAGGCAACACACACGCACTAGGGAATGGTTTGACTCTGGGGCAATGAAGTGACTCCTCCATTTGTAACATTTCCCCACCACCACCTTCTTTCTATGTACATCAGCGTTGTCCAAACCTGGCCACTTTAAGATGAGTGGACTTCAACTCCCAGGCTGGCTGGGGAATTCTGGGAGTTGAAGTCCACTCAAAGTGGCCAAGTTTGGACAACACCGATGTACAGGGTTATTGTTCACCCTGCCTAGGACTTGAAACAGATTCTTTATTTCGCCTAATAGTAACAGCCTTGCAAACTGTCGTTTTCCTTTCTTTCAAACGGCTTTGGTAGCGGATATTACTGTTTCAGCACCCATGGGACCCGGATTAGGATATGGGTGCCTTCCAAAAAGGAGGCACCATTTTGGAAGACACCCTACATGCCTTTTAAATGTCATTTTATCACCTGCCACATCTTTGAAATCACCACCATGGACTATTTGTGTGTGTGTGTTTATTACCCAGCCCTTCTTCCTCTCTATGAATATATTGTTACAACAAAATGTGTGAGCAACTCTGATGTGGAATCAATTATTATAAAGCAATTTAAATAGCAGCAGGTTAAAAGAAGGGAAGGGAAGGAAATTAACCCGCTGCAATTGTTTATGTTCCTCTGAAACATGCTTAACCTTAGCTCTCGCGGAGCCATCTCGGTGGGCAGCCAATTTCAACCCTACTGTGAATGTGATAAGCATCTTGTGTCGTTGGGATAATCTAAAATGGAGCGCTTTGTTTTCAGAAAAAAAGGAAAGGAAAACTCAATCAATTAACGCAGAGGCAAACATTGGGGGTGACGGCCAGGTTTGCCTCCACCTCGGTAAACGCGAAGGGTATTTTAATTAAAAGCAAAGGGAGAGGGGAGCAGCAAGCACAGCAAGGGCGGGACGGGAACGTGAGAATGAGGATGGGGGAGTTTTTATTTTTTAAAAAAAAGAAGAGCAGAACCGCCGCCGAAGGGACTTACCGTGGAATAGCCACCGGGCGTCCGCCTGCCCCCAGGAAGTTAAACGGAGTTTGGCTGGTCAACAGGAGATTTCAAACCATTTTTCAGATACAAAGGCCACAGGTATTAGATGACGGTCAGAGGACGACACTCTGCAGCGGGCGGAAAAAAAGTGGCTTTGCACCCTTGCCTGGCAAGGCTAGAAAGGCCTCTGCGCCCCCCTCTCTCTTCCCCAACATCGTCGCTTGAGAACAGCAGTGCCCATTTTTAAAAGAATGCTTATCCCGGTGCCCGCAGGTTGGCCCCTCGCCCTGTTTTATTTCGGAAAGGCCCCCGCCAGATTGATTTTGGTGCACTAAGAAACGTCAGTTGCAATAGGAGCAATCGTTCGGTTAAAGCGTTACCGTTTGGCAGAAATCATAATTAAAACCAACAAAGGGTTAGGGGTTGCAGTGAACTCTTTGCAATCCAGACACCCCAGCTGGGAAATAAATAGAAAGAGGGGGGGAGGAAAGAAAAAAAAAAGATGCGCTATGAAACCTTTCCCCACAATTCACAAATAACACCCAGACACAGACACGCAGATATTCTTTCCCTCCGAGTCTTAGCTTTTCAGGGTTGGGACCGCTGTTCAAAACGCATAAGCAGAGATTGTCGGTTACTAAGAGCCTTGAAGGTTTCATCTTTTCCTTGTTTCAGTGACTCAAACATCCTGGCCAATAATCTGCTCCTAAAGAAATCCACCCGTGGGGCCTTTCAGCCAATGTCCTCAAAGATCTTCAAGGTTGCTTCTCCAGACACAACCGTTTTCACTCTCGCGTGCCCAAGGGATTCTGGGATGGGCCTTGGGGTGTCTGCAGGGGGGTGGGGGTTAAAGAGTCAAGAGGGGGGTGTCAATCATGTGATCGAAGCCCTGTTTCCTTTTTACATGCCTGACACACATACAAAGTGTGGGGCTTCCAAGGCACGTGCCATGGACTGAATTTGACATTCAGGATTTTGTGCCCTTCGAGGTCGTGTTCGCACAAAACCTAGCCAGATCAGCTGCTGAACTTGATTAGTTTTAACTTAGATTAGCTTTTGCCTTCTTTTGGTGTATGTGTGTGGCTTAGTTTTTGTGCAAGCCCATCCCAAGTGGTTCGTTTATGGTTCCGTCTCGTGTGTGAACACAGAAACTGGGTTTGTTCAGCGTGCTGGGTGACCGTAACCAACGTGAGTGGGTTTTCTGGGAAGGGGAAAGAAATTTGGGAGGCAGGCTGAGAATGGGGGATCTAGAGGGATCTCCTTTGCAAAAAATGGCAGAGCAGATGGACCAAGAAGTTCCAACCCCGGTGTGGGAAGAAGCGAATGCCGTGGGCACCCAATGGAATGAAAATAATGTCCAACTTTTCCTATGGCCCAATGTCTGGCTGGTTTTGGGCCATCTCCTTCACAGCAAAAGGGAGTCATCAGAAGCTATCCCTTAATCCATTCCCCCAGAGGGAAGACACCTCGATTTATTCCCAATCTGAATAGGTCAACCCAAGAATCGTTCAGTGCATCAACCACTGACGGTGGGGCTCCACCTTGGAGGTCTCACCTATTTCCGTTGAAGGACGTCTTATAGTCTCCTGGTGGAAGTATTGTCTCCTCGGCATACATTGGGACGGGCGTCCTCACGCACTCGTGGGAGCACTGGAGGGTTTCGTTGTAGGCCGTGAATATGTCCAGATTGCTGGGCACTCTGGCTGGGGTAAAGTCTGTCAGGTTTTGACAACTCTCCTCCTGCTGCTTGATCTTCCGCTGGTGGCCGTTCCGACGGGCGTTCCCCCTCTGCGCGCAGCTGGAAGGAGAAGGGAAGAGACCAGCTGACGGGTGCCTGGCCAACGGCTCCCTGTTCATGAAACCATCCCTTATATACCATCCTTTCTACTGAAAGCAACTCAGGGCGTTGCCCCAGGCCATAAACATGCAGCAGTTGAAACTACTCCTGGCCCAGTTAACTAGACCGTGTTTTTTCAAGAGGCTGAGGACATTGTCCTCAGGGTTGGAGGGGGAATTCCACGGCTGGGGTGGTGCCAAGGTTCTCGCCAGCAGCCTGGATGGCAAACAGGCCCCCAAGGATAGAAGGACTTCAGACTGACTGTAGAAGAGTAAGATGTGATTATGAAAGAATTCCAGGAAATGCTGGCTATCAAAGGCAAGTTCTCCCTGTGAAAATCCTCGCCTCTATTTCTCCTGCCCACCCATTCTCCGTGCAGGGCTGGATGTTAATGTCTTTTGGGCAGAAGGGGCCGTTTCCCATCTGTTCCTTGCTCTGCTGATGGCCAGATCTGGTACCAAGCTGTTCATTTCTGACTCTCTTCAATCTGACACTCTAATTCAGCATTTCCAAACGTGGCCAAGTTCCAGGGGTGTGGGCTTCAACTCCCAGAATTTTCAGCAGCGGCCACGCTGGCTGGGGAAATTTGGGGATTGAAGCCCACACCTGGAAGGTGAACGTCAACCCAACAGGAAGGGGGTGGAAGGCCAGTCCCCTCCCACCAATTGGCATCCCAAGTTCAGCTTCTCCAGCTCGTGCCAACAGACGGGTCAACTGATAGCCGGCGAGACATCTTCTAGATATTAGGGTCCCATAAATGCCAGCTTTATTGGGGAGAAGGATGCAACAGATTTGTGATTGAACATCTATGAAATTGGTTCACCCGTCCCTTGAGATAGCTTGCTCAGCATGAAATCACAACCTTTGCCAACTCAGCAGAGTTGTGAACACACATGCTATTCAGTGCTCCTTGGGGAGGGAAAAGGTGGGATAAAACCTGTAAATAAATGCATAAGAAAAGTCACAGAGGAGCCAACCAGTCCTCATGTTCCTGAGAGACAAGCAATTACCTGTGATTCCAAATTTAATTATCACTCTTTAGTACCTGAGAAACATCGGTCTCAATGAAGCGATCCGGTTCCAGGTATATTTTATGCATGTATTTATTTATCTTCCATAATCCAATCTGAATTTTAAATGGGGGCCTTTATAATTAAAGGGAAATTACTGATGCTAAGTACCGTGTCCGTGTAAGCAGCAACTGAAAGTTTAATACTCGCCAAGATTTTTTAGCATGCATAACGCATCGTCCAATTTGTCATCAACTCAAATGCTTCTCCCCTTAGCTGGAAAGAGGATGATCTCTTCCTTTCCTTCCGTGGTTCCCATTTTCTTTGGGGTTCTTCTCCGCCATTTTTTCTCATTTTCTTTGGGGTT